CTGCAGACCGATGGGGCGTATGCAGCGACACTGCGCGATGATTGGTGGCCAGGCGAGGCTGTGACTCCGCCCCGGTGATATGAATATCGGATATGGTGGAAACTGAACAGTTTATTGAAACGGGAAGGAAGCTGGTCAGGAAGTCGGCCACAGAAGGAAGAATATGGATGAAAAATCGGATGCGATGTCAACCGGGAAAGACCAAAATGGTTTGGACCTGGCGAATTTTAATTTTGGAGCATTTCAGGTTCGAAAAAAGTTTTTTTTTTTTCCTTTTTTTTTTTGTTCTCTCTTATAATATATTGAAAAAGAGAATCGGTAAGCAGATGCTTGTTGTTAATTGCAATTTAAATTTGTCGACAACTGCAAATTCAGAATCTTACTGTTTACAGCATAAATTTTTAAATTTATTATCCTCAACACTGCTTCAACCAACAAAAAACGTTAGAATTATTGTTTTTCAAAAAAAAATTTCTGTTTTTTTTTTTCCGTTTTTTCTCTCATTTTTGCATCACTACTGTAATTTTTTTTTAGCATTCAAAAATTTTAACAATAATTTTTTGTTTTTTCAAGTTTTATACCAAAAATTTAGCTTAGTTTTTTTGTTCACTAATTTTTTTTAGCTATCTGCTAACAGTAACAATGGACATCATAGTTTAATGCCGATGGCTTCACGAAATGTCTTTTATGATCAAAATTTTTCTGCACCAATACCAAAAACTCAAATGACACAACAGAATGGTGGGTAAATCCTAAGTTTTTTTTTTTTTCTTGTCAATTTATTGTTTTATTTAGTTGATTTTAAATTTTTAATTGTTAAAAAATTGTTAAATATATGGTTAGAAATTTGAAGTTGTTTAATGCAATTTTGAAGTGTTATCTTTTTTGTTGTTGTTGCTGCTTATTGAAAGTTTTTTGTTGAACGTTTAAAGTAATTTATATCTAATTTTTTTTTTGGTTTATTAATAAATAGTAGTAAAATAAGCAGAAAGTTGTGTCTAATATTTTATTCTTAAAATTTTTCAACTTCTTTACAAATTCTTTTCAGATACAACACTGTTTTTCGTACAAAAAATTGAGTGTTTAACCTTTGACAAAAGATTTTGTGTTTATCACTTAAGAAGTTTATACTCAAACTCGAAGTTTATACTCTATTTTAAAATAGAATAATTTTATATTATCAGTGCTCTAATGTTATCTGTTTCTTCTTTTTTTTACCATATACGAATATAAATACCATCAAATAGTTATATAAAAAAAAAATTAACAATTTTATACGTATATAAATTGTTTTTAGGACAAAAATGTAGAAATCACTAAATTGTTTATTGGTCTTTTTTATTTGCTGCTTCACATTCGTCTGACATTATATAAGACTTTCCTCAAAATGGCTTCAAAAAAAAAAAAATTACCTGCTTCAAATTGATCGAAAAAAAAATATCGAAAGGAAAATAAGCATTTCTTCAATGCTTTTTTTGCAATAAATCTCTTTACCTTTTCTGTTTTTTTTTAGTATCATTATAATCTGTCTTTTTTTCTGATTTTTTGATTTTTTGTTAAGCTGAAATATGTCTGAAATTTCCTTTCCAATTTTTTTTCTTTGTAAAAATTTATCTAAACAAAGAAGAAAGAATTTTTTTTCTGTTTTTATTTTATGATTACAATTTGAATGACAATTGTCTAAGTAAAAAAAAAAAGTTAGTGAATTTTTTTTTCCAAAAAAAAATATAGATGTTGGTGAGAAGAGTTTTTTGTCTTAACCCTGTCAAGAAGGCTATTTATTCAATAGTTTAAGCTTCTAGTCTTCTTTTTTTTTTCCCACTTATTTATTCTGGATTATTTACCTCAGTTTTTTTTTTTTGACTATTTTCAACAAAGATTTATGAACTGTGTAGACAAAAAGAGAGTTTTTTACAGGGATGAATTTATGTACCAATGGATTCCATTCGCCAAGTCCCAGTAATTCAGCGACAACAGTAACTGTTAAAGAAGAGGTAAAAATAAGCAGTATAATTAGCGAAAACAAGGAAAAAAAAAAGAGATTTTTGTATTTTAAATCAAATAAAAACAACGATCAGACAAATTGATCTTTTCGAAGACTGTACTGTAAAGGATAAATAGCAGAAAGTAAGAAAAAACAAATTTTTTGAATATAAAACTAACTATTTCAGCTAATATTAGTATTACTTTTTTTACAAAAAGTAATATTGATGTTAGCTGAAAATAAAAACCTTAAAACAGTAATCAGAAACAAGGATATTTTTTTTTCAGCCATCTGCATTTAATTCATCGTGTTTTGGTTGTCCACCGCTACGGTTTACCACGTGCCATTCGGCACCGTTTAGTCAACCAGGTAAAAAAGCCTATAAATTATACTCCTAATATTTGTGAATTTTTTTAGCCATTTCTTATCAATAGACTATCTTTAAAAAAAAAAAACTGCCACAAACTTGTTTTTTTCAATTTTTTGGATTAGATTTTAGATTTGCTGACTGTGTACATCGGGAAAACGATAAGAATTTATTGCATGATATGCTAATTTTTCTATACTAATAAAGGTCTATGCAGAAGTATTACGGTAGCAAAAAAAAAAAAAAAAA